GCGCACTCGACACGCACGATCTCCGCAGAGGGTTGCGCGCGCACCGGACAAATCGCACTCTCGCCTGCATTTTGCGCACTCGACACGCACGATCTCCGCAGAGGGTTGCGCGCACAGCCGGCAAATCGCGCTCTCGCCTGCATTTCGTGCACTCGACACGCACGATCTCCGCAAAGGGTTGCATTTTCGGTTGACGCTGTTCGTCCCACCCTCCGCCTTTAAGAGAGAATTTATAAAGTGGGGAAATGTTTTTCATTAGGACATTAGACTTGCATACTTTGACACTTGCATACTTTGCACTTGGATGCTTTCGCTCTTCCAGTGTGTGTGTGTGTGTGTGTAAGTGTAAGTGTCGAAGTGTAAGTGTCGAAGTGTCAGTGTTCAAGGGATTTTCCGGAAGAACCCTTCGCAATGCTTTCGGGAAAAAGGACGCTATCGGACGGATGAAGGGAGGAGATCGCTCCTCCCTGTCCTGGCCGTCGACTCGGGTCGACTCGAGACTCGAGACGCTCGCTCGCCTGTCTTCACCCCAAGACCAGAAGGGAAGAGAGTGCTCACAGCGCTCGTGCTGAGATAAGTATGCTCCAAGTGCTGCTTTCGAGAAGACCTGCACCGAACAGGCGAAGGAGGAGCTCCTAAGAAACTCTTTGGCAACTTGCCTCAAGCGCTCCGTACATTGTTGCTGGGATATATTTGGCGCAATTCAAGAAGAAGACGTCCCTGTACAGTTGCAGGAATGTAACAGGCATGAGAGGACATCCCTGCCAAACAATATCACAAATCGAAGACAAAAATAATAGAAAGTGAAGTTTCCCTAAAAATCTACGAACCAAATGAATAGTGTGAGCTCCTCTTCAAGGAAGCTCCCCCCGCCCCTCAAGCAGGGGGAGCTTTCTTGAAGAAGCGTGAGCTATCCTGCTTCCAGGAGGTAGTAGCTGCCTATTGCCAGTAGCTTGCCTCCTTAATTAATCTGAATTAGATAGGCGCCTACTGTAATGAATTAAGTAAGAGGTCGGGAAAAAATAGAACATGTCTCTCTTTCACAGTCACATACCGTGACCAAAGTTTGCGAAATCCAAGTTGCTGTCCCACATGCCATTGAAGATGTCCGCGCAAACGCTCAGCATAAAGAATGGCATCAGGATCCACCTTGAAGTCACTCGGGCAGCAGGGCAACAACGAGCTACAAATTGCGTTTGTGTATCTGCTCGCTCGGATGCGCTAGAGTGCCCCTTTATTCGGAATACAAGGCTAGCAGTGGCTAGCACGCGAAGCATTGTTAATTTTGTTCAGACAAGACCTCGCTTGTGTTGAAATGATGATCTCTTCTGAGCATTGTAGGACGTTGCAAAGCTTCATCAACCAGCAAACTGCACAGTGTCCATAATTTGCCTTAGCAATGAAGTCATAGTGCCACCATTTGTCGTCAGTCAGAATAGCCATCCAAGTCCTGCAAAGAAAGAGCCCTTCAAAGATAGAGCTGCAAGACGTTCAAAAGCTTCAGGGAGCAAATTTGACAAGAAGTTTCATAGAGACAAAGGAACGATGGAGCAACCTCACCCCCACCTTCCACAATGGCACTGCAGAAAGGAGGCATATCGAGCAAACAAGCAGTGCATGTGGAGAATTGACCTTCGCTTCAAGGAACGTGAATAATTCAAACCCCGCACCCCTCGCCGCCCCCGGCTTCCTCCGGCTTCCCCCATCCCGCACCACGCCCCATATACGCCCCGGTCTTTAAAAAGACTTGCGAGTTCGCTGCCGTGCCATCGACGGAAACGCCAGAGACGGTGGAAGGGATCACCTTCGTCCTCAGACACTTGCAGCTGATCTGGAAGCTGCTGGACTGTCGGACTGTCGCTAAGGCTTAGCACTGGTAGCAAGTGCATCACTACTAGCTAGAAGCTACTAGTAACAAGTTCTAAGGCCACTTTCCGGAAACTCCGTCACTTATGTCATCAAAGTCCTAATTATCAGTGGTGGTTGCACAATTCAAGAAAGTGGCTCCGTATCCTGCTCAAATGCGATTCTTCAAAGCTTGACTCAACGTTTCGGACACCTGAGCTCACTTGTTGAATGATTCAGAGTCAAAGCTTCTTATACCCGTCAATGTCGATTGCCTGGTCGCTGAACACATCAAACCTAGGCATTCGTGGCAGCTTTGCACTTGCAGAAATGCAAGACTGTGCTGTGCTTGAATACGCTGCATCTGGCTGCCAACTGCATGAAAGCGCCTTTTCATGCAGCTCGATGAGGCTTAATTTCATGACATGTTCACCTCTTTCCTGCGGCGACATTCTATGAAATGCGGGCTTGATTCCTTCTTCCCACTTGGGGGTCTAGCTATCACAACATATCTATGGCTCGATCGGGAAATACTGAGTCATTCTGTGATGCGTCGACCTGTCATCTGTGTCGCTGCAAAGGTACCCATCGCAGCCAAAAATGCCTCCTCCCACTTGGCGTTGCAGAAACATGGTGTCCTCAGTTCGGCTTCACTTCGTCCAAAGGTTTTCAGGAGCATGACTCTAGGTCTTCGGTTTTTGGTGCGCCCAAGCATCCATCTCAGCGCCACCGCGGGACACCGAAAAGCAATAGATTTGGGGTGTTTTGCCTTTGGGCTGCTGCGGGACTGGATAGGAGCCCTCAGTGCTGCCAAATTTGTTCCGAAAAACGCGAAATCAAAACGCATCCAAAATCCAACATTCTCCAACAAAGCCAAAAAAAGTAAACATGATTGCCTTTTGAATTCAAGTTTAGATCATAGTGCATTTAGAATCTAGAATTGTCTATTCCAAGATTCAGCACAAGGGCGCTGGCATTGACCCTGCCTTGGTTCGATCTCGATGCACTCAACAAAATGTCGCTGCCCCAATTCACGAAAGAAAGCAAGAGCACTGAGCACGAAGAGCCCAAAAAGAGAGCGGCCGAATGCAGAAGCTGAAGCAGCTTAGACTTCTGAAGCTGGGTCGCTTGGACTCCCAGAGCCACTTCTGAATATCATGCCGATTGGATTGCCTCCACGAGTTCTACGAGATCAAAAGTTCGAATTGCCGTTTGCGGGTTGCCCACACTTTCAAGTCACGGTGCATTTGCTTAAAAAGTGTCTTAATCTGAACATGTTCCACGTGTATGTATATATATATAATTTTTTTGCTGCTGAGGTGAACCCTTTCGAAAGTTGCTCAACTGCGCATGCGTAGTATTCTTCAACATCAGTCCAGCTAGAGGCAATGCCTCGTTTCGCTCCATTGACTCGGAGTGACCGAAAATGTCATTTAAACAGGCATTCTGAATTCTCCATTTAGATGCTGCAGCCTTGAGATTGTTTTGTACCAACTCGGATTCTCGACGACGCCCACCCACTTGTGCCAAAGCACCTCAGTTCGATGTTCAGACCAGCACGGGGCTCAATTGGAGGCCGGAGGCCATCGCTATTTGGAGGTGCTTCACAGTGCATTTATTCTAATTCCACTAGTAGCTTCTTGTTTCTAATAGCAAACATTGCTACTGGTAGTAAGGCCAGGAGCCCCTAGTAGCGATGCCCTTTGCTCCTTGTTCATTTTGTTCTTTTGCTTCTATCCGGTGCCAAGGGACAGCTTCATAACAAGGTTCGCCCGGAAGCGCTGAGTGGCACGGAGTGGAATCTTCAGAGTCCGATGTGTTTGTGCCATTTGTGCTATTGGTGCCAATGGTACTATTGTGCTTGTGCTTCGCAGGCTCAGAATGCTCAGCATGCTTAGCGACAGCGGGCGCATGTGTCACATGCGCAGGTGCATGCGTCACATGCGCAGGCTCATGCGTCGCATCTGCGGTTGCATGCGGATGCGGAGCATTGGTGGCTTTCGGACTGGTCTCGTCCGTGGCAGTGCTCGCAGCATTTTCCTCCGTGGATCTAGTTTGCGCCATCTTTGTAGCCTAGCAGGTTGAGACAATTCTTTCTCTCCGAATGCAGTCAACAGCTCTGCATGACCTGAAGCTTCTGAAGCTCCCTTTTTGTGTACCTGAAAATCATGCCTTTTGTCTTCTCTGTTTTCTTTTTTCTTCCGGACCTGGTCCTGGAGGCGCTGCATTGCCTTGAGCATTTGCTCAGAAGGCATCACTGCCTCAAAAACGCAGAGGGGTGTAGTCAATGAATCTGAAGAAATCAGCTCCAATAAAAGACATGCTCTTCTCAAGAAGCTACTAGTAACAAGTGCATCGCTTCTAGTAACAAGTGCCTTACTAGTAGTAACAAGAAGCTAATAGACTCTCAACGTGTTGTGCAAAAAATGTTGATTTTGTGTCGCTGTGTGAAAATCCAGAACAGGTTTAGAGTGCCTCAATGGTATTGCTTTCAGGTGCTTGCAATCCATGCGGAGCTGAGCCCTTCGGAGCCTTGTGGCGAGAAGCAGGGCATCACATGTCGATCACCAGAACGAATGCAAACAAGTGCAACGCAAGAATAACAAGAGCACTGAGCATGGCCAAGCTAACATGTCTAGACAGCGAGCTGAAGCTAAATTGATAAACGCAAGGCACGTGCGTAAGTTGCGCGAGTGTTCAAGGCCAAAAGGTCTGGAATCTACTACAGAGCTCTAACACGAGTTCGGAGGTCTTGTTCTTGTTCCCTCCTGTCGAATAAGGACGAAGGCAGCACCAAGCCCCACTAGGAAGAGTAAAGAGCCAACAGCCTGAAGCGCTCGAGAGAGGATCAACCGCATGTGTTCACAGTTACAACTGAGCTGCACAGTTATCAACTGCACCGCCATCAGCACATGGAGTGCAAATCCACATGTGAGGTGCTTGCTCCTTCCTGCCTTGGCCCAAATAGGCATCGTGAACATGCTGCCCGTTGAGCACTCTTCCTCATCGTTTCCATGTGCCATTTTTTGGTGCGGCACTCAGGGTGCAAAGTCGGCCGAACTTCATTTTCTTCGTATCTCACTGGATGCTGACAGAAATATTATGCAATGGCTTCACCGCCTAGTTCGCATGAGTTTGTTCAACTATCCGACAAGCAGAGTACACAGAGTACACACCAAACTGGAGGTCCTCCGGCTGCAAGAGCAGGTGTTTTGTATCAACGCGGAACTGTCGAACTCCGTGGCTTCCACCTGCAGAATGCCATGTTGCATGTCGAGTGAATGGAGTGCATCTGTTTTCTCTGCGCCTTCAACATCCGTCTCTGAGGGTTCGTTGAGGTTCTGCGGCATTGGTTGGTAGGACGCTGCCATCTGTTCTTGGAGGCTCCAGGTAGGTCTTCTTTAGACACAATCTTGAGCCCCACTGGTGCGAAGCGTGCGAAGCGATGCAGGTTTCAAGCAGCAAACCGGTAAAACACAAAAAGGATCAAAAAGAAAACCATGTCATCCACACTGCAACAATTTGTCAAGGAGCGGACAGGCGGAGATGAGCGTCCAACAGGTGGGTTGATTCTTTCACACGGAGTGTGAAGAAAGAAAAAAAAAAAGGTAACCTGGTACAGTTTTGTATGTATCTTGTGAAGAAAAAAATGCATCGTAGGTCATTTTGGGGTTATGGCTTGCCGAGACCTGCCTTTCTGACAAAAAAGAACATCAGAGTCAGAGCTCCCACCTCCTGCACCCGCTTCAGCAAGGCCTCCTGCAAGGCTGGGTCTGGCAGGTCCATGACACAGCGAAAAAGCTCCTAGTAGCGTCCTTGTTCCTAGTAGCAAGGCCAGGAGCCCCTAGTAGCGTCCTTGCTCCTAGTAGCGATGCCAGGAGCCCCTAGTAGCTTCTTGCTCGTAGTAGGGAAGTTCTTGTAAGAATCCAATAGAAAATAGCTAGCTACTTCACAGGCTAGTAGCCAATAGTGATGGCCTCCAACCTAATAGCACTTATGTGGCATGACAAATTGTGACAAGCTGTGTCTCTCACCATTCCTACGCATCGCCTTGGACACTTAAGTTGAAGACTTGAAGCTGAAAAATCTCGACCGCAGCTTTTCTACCGTGAAACGAGTCCATGCCGAAGCAGCCACCGCCCAAGTCCAGCAACAGGTACTGTAGACCTTGTTGAGTCTTTGTGTCTTGAGTTTGGTTGCTTTCAGAGATGCTATGGAGAGTCACACTACAGTAGAACTTCATGTTTAGAGCCACAAGGGAATCCTTCCACCGCCACTTGAACATCCAAAAGCCCATCATGAATACCAAGTCTAACCTATATGTTCCAATATGTCCAATTCCAGATGTTGTTTTCAGCCAAAGAACTCGCCGGAAGGCTTCGAAGGAGCACTGGAACCCAAGCAGCATGCCAAGGAAGAACTAGCCTTTCCAAAGACAGCAAGGATTGTCGGCAACTTAGACTTAGTCCTTAGAGAGTCTCAAGTTCCTATGTACACTCCCGCTGAGCCACTTGAGGGGTTTAGCCTATCCCCTGTGAAAATAGATCCACTCTACACTTCTCGTGAGGTTCGCAATCCTATTTTGGCATGGCTCTGTGGTGGCAGCGACGCCAAGTCATCGTCCAGCTCTGCCAGAATGGCTGCAGCAACATCTTTGGCACTAAGCTTTGCAAAGACCAGAGACCTGCAGCGACGTAGAAAGAAAGGCAGAAATCAAACTGAAAGCTGCTGTCAGAAATCCAATTGAAACTCTTTCCAGAAAGCAAGAACATCACATCCGCTTGATTGCACCCAGCGGTTCCAACTGTCTGCAACGCAGACAGCAAATTGCCATCAGATCTTAGAAACTCAGCGCAACGCGCTGCACGCCTCAACCATGCAACGCACTGGCGAAACACTGTGGCAGAATCGGCACCCTCAAATGCACCGTTAAACATCCTTAGTTGGCGACTCACCGCGATCAAGGCCAAAATCATTCGTCTCCAACCTACTAGCGATGGCCTCCAACCTACTAGCCATGGCCTCCAATCTAATAGCAATGGCCTCCATCCTAGTAGCGATGGCCTCCAACCTACTAGCGATGGCCTGCAACCTAATAGCGATGGCCTCCAACCTACTAGCGATGGCCTCCAACCTAATAGCGATGGCCTCCAACCTACTAGCGATGGCCTGCAACCTGATTCAATGGCCTCCAACCTACTAGCGATGGCCTGCAACCTACTAGCGATGGCCTCCAACCTACTAGCGATGGCCTGCAACCTGATTCAATGGCCTCCAACCTACTAGCGATGGCCTCCAACCTACTAGCGATGGCCTGCAACCTGATTCAATGGCCTCCAACCTACTAGCGATGGCCTCCAACCTAATAGCGATGGCCTGCAACCTACTAAGGATGGCCTCCACCCTAAGCCACCCTAGTAGCGATGGCCTCCAACCTAATAGCGATGGCCTCCAACCTACTAGCGGTGGCCTCCAATCTAATAGCAATGGCCTCCATCCTAATAGCAATGGCCTAAAGGTGCAAAGGTGTCAGTTGCCATCTGTCTTCATCTCAACTGCGCTGAAGACAATACGACAGTGAGTAATTTGATGGCAAACTCCAGGAAACCTGATGGCACTCTTCATATTCTCAGTCTAGGCGCTGGGTGTCAACCAAGTATGGGCAAACGGCCATGACCCCCACACCAGTACATTGTTGCGCACGCAGTTCCAAACGGATTGACTCCTGAACTGCTTCAGGAGTGTTTGACATATGTTGTGAATGGATCACACAGTGTTTCGATGGCCTCCAACCTACTAGCGATGGCCTGCAACCTTCTAGTGATGGCCTCCTATTCCGTGAAGTTCCGAAGATCTGAATGGTTTCAAGATGGGAACGACCAGACACGATTCTTAACGTTTCTACGAGTAACAAGTGCCTCGCTAGTAGTAACAGGTGCCTTACTAGTAGTAACAAGAAGCTACTAGGAACAAGTGCATCGCTAGTAGGTTTCTTACGTTTACTCTAGGATGATTCTAACGTTTGTTCAATCGCGCTCCGTGAGCCCCAAAAGAGCCCACTTGGAGGCACAGTAGTCCGAAAGCCGCGCACTTCCCAAAAAGCCTCACATTCCAGGCGTTGAAAAGAGCTCTGAAAAGGAACCTCCAAAATGCTCTGTTCTGGCAAAAGCATGTAATTTGCGATTGACAATCTCGACGCTCTCCCTCTCTCCCTCCCTCCCTCCCTCCCTCCCTCTCTCTCTCTCTCGCTCTCTCTCTCTCTCTCTCTTTCTCTTCCTTTTATGTGTATGGCCAAAGCTGCACATACATCTATATATATATATATCAATTACAATTGCCTAAGTCACCCATCATCGACGAAAGGAAAACCACAGCCCCACATCTCCGCTGCAACATGCTCGGCAGCAACTGATGGGCAAACCATGCGCCTGAGCCGTAAAACATCTGAAAAGCATTCTGAGCTGGGTCTTCATTGTCGAACACAACCAGCAAAGTAAAAAGGACTCTTCGTGCTATGGAATCCAATAAGCAAACCGAAACACTGCGCATCTGGAATGATCTGTTTGTGTATCCTTTATATAATACAGATGAAATCAAGCAGCTTCCAAAGAAGTTTGTGTCCATCGTCTTCCGGAACTCTGCTGAAGCCACTGGACTCTGCCTCAGACAGGCAAAGGACCTTTAGACAGGGCAGGCCACTAGTAGTAAGCTACTATGCTAAACGGAAGCTACTATATAGTGGCAGGACGCGAGAAAGCTCAGGCTTTTCCGCCTGAGGGCGGGGCCTCGCACTATTTGTGTGGTTCCTAGAGACCTTTCACTAGAATCACTAGAAGCGATGGCCTGCAACCTAAGAGCGATGGCCTCCACCCTACAGTGATGGCCTCAGCCATGTTCAAACTCACGTTGGGCTAGCGTTTGTTTTGGGAAAGCGAGGTTCTCTTGGCGCAGAGCGTGCTGCTGGAGTGCCTGACCTGCAGCCATTGTTCCTGCATCCTTCTCTGCCCCGATCCATGCCACAACACCTACATTTTCTAGTGCCCCGGGCAGCAAGTGTGAGCCACGGGCCCAGATGGAGCAACCATAGTTACAAGCCAAACTGGCTCAGACTGAGATCGAACATGCTGCAGCACTGCAGCAGAGTACTTGTATACGACCAAAGGATCTGCGAGCACTCATGGAGAAAGAACACGTTTTGTGCTAAGAGAGAACCACCATGGATCCCGGCCAGAAGCAAAACATGCTGCACGACATGTCTGCTTTGTTGCCCTGTTGCAACTGGCTGCAGCCACAGCATTCCAAAGAACATGAAGGTCAACTGCTGTTCGACCCGGACCATTACATGGCCATCAAAGGTCCCGACAGCCTTTGGCAGTCATGGTTGCCGGTTTTTGTCAAAGGCACCAAGAGCTGTGGAGGGGGCGACAGTTTTGGGGCGAGCTGCGCCATCACCGGCTGGAATTTTGCACCTTTGGGTGCGATGTTTCGCACGGAAAGAAAGTGCCGCATGTTGCCGTTTCTTGCATGAGCTGTTGCATAAGGATTTGCTATGATTTGCTATTGAGGTTGTCAACTGGGGTAGTTTCCTCTACACATACATTCTGTCTTTTCGTTCAAAGATACTGGGCTTCGCAGGGAAGGAAAGCCTTTCCGCTCACAACTCCAGCAGAGAGGAGCACCACCTGCACCTCGATCTCAGCGCAAAGAGATGCAACGGCCTCCTGACGAGTGTGGCAAAAGCAGCAGGAAGAAACATACAAGAAAGAAAGAAAGAAAGAACAGCACAAAGCAGAGCCGAAAAAAATTAATCTATCTTCTTAGAAATTGGCATACATCTTGCATGTATGTCTCTCGTCTCTCTTGCATTTGTCGACACCTCGTTGCTGACATCTGTTTGGTGGGTGCTGATTCGCAAAGCATCTCCTCCTGTGGGTCAAGCAAAAAATATATATGCTGATCATCACACATCTGCACATCTGCACAGTCTGCTGTGCCTCGCTGGCGTGCTTCTCGAACAACATCTTCCATCAGCTCCAAGTCCACCTGTACCGTCCAGGCAAAACCAGTTGAGATCATTCCAAAGTGGTTCCACAACCTCAAGGAATGAACCTAAGCGAGTAAACAGCAATGCTCGAACATGCAAAGATATGCGCTTGGAGGCCATCGCTTGGCCGCGCATTGCATGTTTGTGCTCCAAAGAACGGACGATCCGAAGCACACCAGTCACAGGGCTCACCAGGATGAGCTCTTTCACACCCAGTCGGGCAGCTTGCAATGCGAGCTCGCGCCCAATGCCGCTATTTGCGCCGGTGATCTGTCACACGTGGTGTTCAAGTTTTCAAGCGACTTAGAATGTCAAATCGTATCTGAATGGTAGAACGGAACCCCAGAATGCTACGGACGTGGAAGAGCCTATGGCAACTCAGATTTAGAAGTGCAACTCAGACATTGTCTCTCTGCTTGGCCAAGTTGCCAGGACGCTTTGCCCGCGCAGCGCACCACGCTTTCTCCGGCGTGCGATTGCCAGCAGGAATAACGCTGCGCAGCCAAGCAACGGCCG